CTTCCCTTCTGCTGGCTTGCTGCTCTGCCAACCTGGAAAGTCCTGCAGGGAATACCAATGTGCCCACTGCATTGTCTCGCTAAATGCCCAGTCCAGCTTCTGGACCTGCTTGCTTACAGCTATGTCCACCCAGATGTGTTTTTTGTCTTTAAATGTCCTAAAATGCTCAAGCTTGGGGCTGTTCTTTGCAGAGACAGTTATGGGTCCTGCAGGGAGCTGTCCCCAGCTGGCCAGCTAAATTCTGCCAATTTGGACAGAACTGGGGCTTGGTGTGTTTTCTGAGTGACCTGCCCCACAACAGTGTGCCTAATGATTAAGGTGAAAATGTAGAAGCTTACTCATGATTGGCAAAGGTTACAGGAAAATATTTTAAACCATGTCCTCAATATATCTTAGGTAATCAATATGTCAGAAAAGATTGTGACTCTTGAAAAGTATGTACATCAAATAAGTTTCGGGCTTTGAGGTTATTTATTTACTACCTGGAAAGATATCTGCAAAAAATGATATAAACATAAAGGTCCCCCTAAGGGCAGCAGATTCCTTTTGAAGACTGCTCAGAACTTGCAAGTTGCCGTCCTTCAGGACCACATAAAAATTAATGAATAAAGTTATTGTGTCCAATTACACCTAAATTTTTTTTCTAAAAATTAAAAAGGAGGGACAGAGTAATACTGAGACAATCTCGGTGAATATGCTTGTTTCTCTGTGCACCATGTCGCCCCTTGACATGTCTTGAAAACATTTCAATATCTTGCTGAACCTCACTCCTCAACCTGGGCCCAGGGATGTTTTGTGTCACTGATGTGGCCTCTTTGGTCCAGGTCCCAGAGACACCCTCATGAATAAAAGCAAATCATTGTCCTCAGCCCACAGGCGAAGGGAGACTGTCCCAAGTCTCCACGGAGTTTCCTAAAACGTGAGGATGAAGAGGAGCAAGGAAGAGGTACCTGTGCTTGAAAAAGAGTCAAGAAGTTTACCCAGCAGGTGACTTGTTTATTGGACAGGGGTTAGCAAGGCAGTGAGATTTGAGGGTGGGGCTAATTAAACATACTTAAGCCATTTAAATGTTTATATCATTCTTCATGTGGGAGGAGAAACATGTTCTTCAGAAATAGATCTGAAGTAGAATTTGGGAACAATTAGTTAAATGTTTAGTCACAGCATTCAGCAGAAATCCTGGGGCAGGAAACACAGAAAACAGAAAGTGTTTGCAGCCCATTCACACATGTGCCCTGAGGCTGGGCAGGGACAGGAGGTAATGAAGAGGCAGTGCTTTGATGGACAGCTGAAGCT